CTAGTCATCACCATCTACCGCCAACTCTTGGGCTACTCTTTTAACAACGAATAGTGGGACTGTCCATCATATTATAATGCCCCCATGACTGAAAGGGCGAGCATGTTTGGTGTGACGGGGATTCAAACCTGCGAGTCGAGCGCCCTAACCACCTGGCCATGCCAGGCCTTATTGGTTAGAGATTAATTACTTTAACCCTATCACAACTAGTGAGCATATTTTAGGTATTGAGTGCACATATGCATATGAATTTTCAAAATTTACATGAAAATTATAGGTTAACAATCTTTAACCCTATTACCACGGGCATCCTTTATTGCATGTGACACAAAATTTTTAGTGACTTACATTCAAAATTTTATTAATCTATATTTTGTTTATATTATACCAATTAGTACAGCATAAATTCTTAGCTAATATTCCTTATTTTAATAGTATGCAAGTTTTAAGTTCTTATTTCTATAAGGCAATATTTAAAAAAATCCTGAATTTCCCCTAGAGTGACACATGTAATGCATTTTCTCTACGAATATTCTCTTCTCTATTTTTATCCATCACCCCTCCAATTACTATGAAATTCAATGTAAATTACACACTATAAAATCGTCTTTGCTCAGATAAACCATAATTTTTATACCTTTCAATTTTGTTTGGTTACAGAGCTATCAAGTAGAAAATCAGACCCCTCTTGCCACACTCACCTGTCACATCCTCTCTTTCATGATTTGTTAACAGTTCTCTCTTATGTTGAATTCTACATTATCTATAACCAATAGAAAGCTAAGGTTTTCATCTATCAAATGACATATTGTATAACATTGTTTTCTGAAAAGAGAAATGTCAATTTCACTGTTACTACAAGCTTTGTTCCCACTGAAAAGATAACGACTAGCATGGATGAACTTGTAACAGCTCTTGTCGCATAATTAGAAAGCCAGTAAAATTCTGAGATTCAGGAAAAATTATCTATTTTTTGCATGTTATTAGTCTATGTTCTGTGGTGCATTATTTAAGTAAATAAAAATTATTTAGTGCATTACTACCATTAGTATAAAAATGTAGGGTTAACTGTCATCGACAATCGACAGTAAGAAAAAAAGAAGATTTGGGTAAGTACTTTATTTTTTGTTTTTCATGTTTATTCTTTATTTATTATTATAAAAGTAACTAAAATGTCAAAATAGAGGTCTATTTAATGTAGTTAAGGTTAGATTTGATAAAATAAATAATAATAATATTTTAAGAGGCATGCAGGCAAGCTGCTTGAAGGTAATGTACTTTGATAGCGTAAAGTGACCTCTATGTTCCCCAAGTGATATACAACTTATAATGGTGCGAGTAGTAGTTAGACATGGTTTAAAGGGCAATAAAACAATAAAATTTAATCATTAATAGATGTATACTGTTATGAGTTTAAAGCTAATTAGGATAAATGAATGTAGTTTCATGTTACAATTTGAAGTCATTCTAGAAAGAAAAAATGGGTAATTTAGATTTTTTGGAGTGTTTACGAGGTTGATCAAATTGACCAATGTTGTTATAGAGTTAGGGTAGAGAAAATAACGGATAAAATATATAGTTTTACTGAAACCAAACATTTGAAATGTATTTAGGAGGTTTTAGGGATTACACAAATCAAATTTGAGATTTTGGAGATGAAGAAAAATATTTCTAATCTTAACATGAAAATCACTTTGCACACAGACTATTCAAAACATATACTCAGTATATTCATGGACAAATCTTTTTTTAGTTTATTAAAAATACTTGACAAAAAAATATGACTTTTTGTATGTGAAAGACTTATAATGTTTACTGAAAGACTGCCAAATTTTGTGAAGATATATATACTATATTAAAGGTTAGTAGTATCAAATCTATAAAGACTATATAAGTATAAAAAGGTCATGTGGTAAGTCAAATTGACATATCCTGTATTGAGAGAGTTAACTCAAAACATATTTTAGAATTCATATTTTGTCAGTTTATATCATGTATTTTGTGTACTTTGCAAAGAAAGTTAAAAAAAGTTAAAATATACATCACCACACAGCTCTGAGGAGTCTGCTTGTTCTGTAAACAATGCACCTGCAGATTTTATTACTATTTAACTGCCAGTTTCAAGGCATATGTTTATATTTATTAGAAAAATATCATCCCTACAGAATATAATTAGTTATGTCTTGTTTTTCTTTTGAGCTTCCTTCTGTGTGTTTCGCATAATCAATAATGCAGAACAGATTTGAAAGTAGCTATATGCAAGGTTCAAATATTATTGGATAGAGCAAATTATAATCTATTCACATGCCTGTATATTGAATAAAGTGGTGTACAGTATTTATGGTTTAGAGGGAAGTGACTAGATGGAGCTACTGCTGAGGTGAACAGTTATCTGTTTGTTTTAGCACAAAGCTGCACAATAGGTTAACTGGCTCTGTCCACCACAGGAAATCAAACCTTGCATTTTAGCACTGTATGTCTGTAAGCTTACTGCTGACCAACTGGGTTTCATAAACTTGGGAACAGACCACAAACTTGAGAAGATTTTATGTTTATAACAGGCATCCTTTTTTGTTTCTAAAAAATGTTTCTGTGTTAAAGTATATCTGTTTGAAAGCTATAAAGATGTCTTTGACAACAACACATCTGGTAAATTTAGTTAAGTTTAACCAGTTACAGAAGGTGATATGCAAAATATTTTAATAACTCAAATCCTTAATTACTTTAAATTATTAATTTATCATATTCAAACAACATAAACAAGTAAAATAATTTATAATTTATGGAAAAGAAAATATAATTAATTATTTATTAGATATAACTTGATTTAGACCAAAATAATATTCCCTAACCTGAAAAAAGCAATGGTGATGCAACTGTCAAAGGTTAGGTTATAGGTTACCAATTAATCTTTCTCAGTTATATTTTATGCTTTATAGCTGGAATTGGTAACTACTACAGTTGGCAAAATAAGGTATCAAAAGAAATATGTTAACTCTCTCAACACTGGCTCAGTCAATTTGACTGAACACATGACCTCTTTTGATGTCTTTATAAATTTAATACTCCTAACTTTCAATATATCTTAACAAACTTTGACAGTTTTTCAGTTAACATTACAAGTCTTTCATATACAAAAAAATCATATTTTTTAGTGAAGTATTTTTAATAAACTAAAATAAAAATTTGTCAATAGCTATTTCTCGATCTTCATTTTTGCCATCTAACATTGTGTTCGCTTGTTCCAGTCTTTATATACCCCACTCGACTCCCCTCAGCAATATCTAATTTGCACAAAACTTTATGCCAGCCTCACACGCCCACTATGCAGGTACTGTTTTTAAGCATTGTATGCAGACAATAAAATCACATTTTCGCGACTTACCTCATTCCAGTCAGTAACAAACCCCGACTCTTAGTGGGAAGGAAAGGAGGGAGAGTGTCAGCAGAGGTGTGTTTGGAAATACATTTTTAGTTTAGGAAAATTATAACTTCCAAAACATACATACCTCTGCCAACACTAATAGCTAGAATCCCACATTGAGAAGGCGAAGGGGCCAGTGAGTACAGAGATCATACAGAAAGCGTCTGGAGAGAACTATATGTACCACGAGAAGTGGTATCAAAGTGGGGAACACTGCACTACCTCTAGAACAGGTATGCTCTTCACCCAGAACTACAGAAAATTGAAAAGGGTGGAATATAATAAAAGTATGATGGTCCAGCCAGACCAAACAGCCAAGGTTCCACAACTTGGGTTGGATTTAAGGGGTCATGGTACCCATATCCCATGTTGGTGGCCAAGGCAGTTGGACCGCAGATATATATATATATATATATTTGTGATAGGATCCCTACCAGTAACCACAGAGTGATGCATTTTCAACCACTAAATTTATGAAAGAAAGCAACATCAAAGTGGTCAATCCTTCTGATCAGTCTGAGAAAAAAATTCCAGGGATCCAGGTAGGAGGGTCCCCAACTTCACCTTCTTTCCCAAGAGTGGAGAAAACTCAACACTCTAAAGGAAAATCCTCCGTCCACCATCCCAGCGACTGAGAACTGGGTATGGTAAGGACTCTCGAACTCCACTAGTAAAAGTGAGGGGAGAACATAAGTGTTGGGAAGGCCTGAGGAACAGGTGAACCATGTTCCCTAATTTTTAAAAGCAAACTGATTTTGACTGATTCAGCTCTAAGATCAGCAGGGACTGGCAAAATCCCCTTTAGCTTTACTAATGATAGTCCATGAATACCAATCCATTAGAAATATTGCAATAAAATATCACCATCCAGAATTGCATCCAGATGGTCTTAAAGAACACCTCATTTTGACAGAGCCCATTGCAACCAAGAACTGATATAAAGGTTGCTAGTGCTGAATTTATATACAAGCTTACCTGACTGGGCAACACTTGCCACTGAGCGGGATCCAAAATAAATCAATAGGGACCCTAAAAGAGAAAAGAACAATAACTGTAAGTCAGAAAATATGTAACTCACTTCCCTGTTAAAATCTAGTAGTAGT